AAAGAAATCGAATACATTGAAGAGTACGTCTTAAAGATCTCAGAAAAAGGGACTTGACTTTCCCTCCGACTTCGCTCGAGTTCTCCTCAGTTAGAACTAACTCTCATTCGATCATTCTCATCCAGCCTCACTCTAATTTCTCACTCAATTCATATTCCTCACTCTCTCATTCCCACACTCATCAATACATTTCTTTGTGCGTCAAAATTCTCACTCACTGAGTCATACGGCCGCTCGCACTTCACGAACTCTCAACCACGCATAAACAGTATCCCCTATCGAGCTGTCATTTAATCTAAATACTTCTCATTTCACACTAGTGTCATACAAACATTACATTTCACTCTAACTTCTATTTAGTCTAATTCTTAATCTTTATTGCCTTATTGGCGACACAACTATTCGTATAGCTAAACGCTTTCATCTTTTTTTATTCTATTAACTTTATTGGATCGCACAGGACACTGACACTACAATTATTGTACGAAAACTGACAGGTGGAGTATGCCATTTGGTACAATACCCAATCTAATTCGACACAGCTGTCAATATAAAAACGAACGTCGGCAACGTGGGCATTTATAAAAATCTTTTTTTATCGACGTTGATCAATTTCCTCGACGTGTTTCACTTTACCTTAAGTCCCAGGTTCTGGTTTATATTCAATTTAATCTTTTTAGTTTTAGTTGATTACCAAGCTAATAATAACTAATTATAATGTAAGTATTAAAATACTAATAATTTGGAAATTATACATAACCTCAAGTTAATGGTTTATTAACCGTTTGCGTACCACGAGCCACTTTCGCGCTCTTCAGATTTTGTGTCGAGTAAAGCCAGGGCATTTGACCGAAACAGATGATTGACGGCCCACCTGAAATTTGAATATGATGAGCGCTATTGCGCTCTACGGCTTTTTTCGACACGTAATCGAAGGGGCGCGATCTGGTATGCAAACGGTTAAATAAAATAATTAAACAAGGCAGCATTAAATTCAATAAATTAAATGAATTAACTCCCATTGAATGAAAGAAATGTATTTATTCAATTAATCAGTGACCCATTAACGAACCATAACTTGTGAGAGTGTTTTTATTTGAATTGTGTATATAATATTAATTTGTTGATTTTATTGGTATTTATTTGACCACTTATTAAATTGCTCATTGAAATTAAATTTTTTAATTTTATTATAGGTTATGTTTTTTTTTGTGTATCATTTTTTATTATTCCTTAATTAATTAGTTAAATAATTAAATTAATGAATTATAAGTAATAACAAATGATTAAATTAATAAGATTAATAACTTATGAGTTACGTTTCATAAATAATTATCAAATTACTAATTAAATATACCAATAAGTTTGTATTAAATAGGGTTAAATCAATTGATTGATGTGTGAATTTAATGTTGCTTTCATGAATTTTCGTATTTAATAAAAGCTTAATGAACTAGTAGTTACATGGAATTTTTTAATTATTCGTATTTTATTATTCAAATTATAATTATTTTCATGTATCTTAATAATGAATTGAAAATAAAAAGCAAATTAAATAAAAACTAGCACTTGGAACTTCGTGGCACCGCGGTGCTACGCACTGCTCACCGAAGCTATAAGGTTTGAATCGCGAGATTGAGATGAGTCAACGTTAAGAATTAATAATTTTGTAAATAATCACTTTAGGAAAAAATGGTAAAGGAATTTTCGACTTCAAACATCGTCAAATCCCACGGTTTTCGGGGGTTATTCTATCTTCTGGGATACCCTGTATATGATATATGAATCAATTTCATTATTACTACAAGTTATAATTTAAAGGATAAATGAAATCTTCGATTGAGAGAGTATACGATCTTTCTTGTCTAATAAATTTTCATTCTTCTTGAAGCCACCGTATGGTGCTCCAGGTCCTGATCATCGTCCCGAAGGACCACCTCCACTTACGGAACAGGAATTTGAAGAGATCATGATTCGCAATAGAACGGTGTCTTCGTCGGCTATTGCTCGTGCCGTGTCCGATGCTGCAGCCGGTGAATTTGCCAGTGCCATAGAAACATTAGTGACTGCTATTTCACTGATTAAACAATCAAAGGTTGCAGCGGATGACAGATGCAAGATCCTCATTAGTTCCCTGCAAGACACGCTGCGCGGTGTTGAAACTAAGAGCTACGGGTCGGCACGAAGAGGTACTATTTTCATGTACTTAATTTGATTAACTTATTTTCACATGGACACTCATTCGTTTATTATTTGTAAATTAAGAAGGAAAAGTAAGCAATCACAAAATTCGAGTCAAGCAATATCTTAAACTTCGCCATTTTATTAATTTAAAGTATTGTCAGTTGATCGTTTGATTGCTCAAGATACTTGATATCAATATAGAATATTCACTTGTTTATATACATGCTCTGTAACTTGTTCACCTCAATTTTCTATGAAATACCTTACATTCAGGCCCAAACCAGCCATTTGATTACTTTTTTCTTCAAAAGGCCCATCTTTTTCCTTAGTGTATAATCGAGAACATTTAAAAATGTCAATAAAATATTTAAATTTATTAGGTGAAAGATAAAACGAATACATAAATGCACCTAATTTGATTAATATAGAACTTCATCATATTAATTAGTCACGTATATCGATAAATATATTTAAGATAAGACAGATAACATCATTTTATACTTTGATTTCATTAAGAACTGTATTTACATCCTGTAGTGTCACAATGGTGATTTAAAAAATTGTCTAAACCCTGAAATACTCATTAGATGTGTTTTTCGAGGATGAAGTTGAACATATTTTTTTCTATCGCGGTATTTCCATTGATTGTTCGACCCACAGGCCCACTTGAGGTGATACGAAAGTGGTCTCTGAAGTGTCAAAATATTTATGAAACTTTTTGTCCAAGGTGGGTACGCCGAATCATTTGAAACTTTTTTATGTGATTATGGTGGCCCTAAAAAGGAACGCAAAACGTATGAAATTTGATCTTTAAAATAACATTTGTTTAACTCATCTCAGACTGGAACCAAGATGGTTTGGTCAACTGGTATTTTTTATATTTTACGTCTTTTAAAAACGTAGAATTGAAAACGAACAGCAATTTAAAACTCTATAAACAATGAACATTATAAATTCATGTGGAAAATATCGAGAAAAATTATAAAAGTTGTGTAATGAAATTCTTGGATATCTTGTAAGCAACGCGTGTTTTGTAAGCGCCCTTGGAGAAGAAAATTAGTTGCCGCTAAATGTGACAGATGGCGCCGTTAGTCGATTAGAGTATCAAAAATCATGAATTCAAGGAATTTCTTGAGTTTTACTTCGATCTCGTTATAATCATTCTACTGAATTAGCGTACAGAGTGCTTCAGTTCGTATAATTATCAATGTAGAACGTCTTTCAGCTGGCACGACAACTTTGGCGCATTCAAATATCAAGAAAATATTTGGAAAAATTAAGTGCTTTATTGTTGCTGGTGTGTTCCCCGATTGAAACATTAGTTGCTCGAGACATTATATGCCTAACGTGAGTAATGCCAATTTGTTATCAAGCCGGCACGATTAATTACATAAAATTTAAAAAGCAAGCAGAGGAGATCTTGTTGCTATTTAGTATCTCGAAGAATTCATTAATCAGAATTCCTCAACAGCAATAATTAAAAAAATGATCGCTACCCCCATTTTCCTAACATACCCATGTGCTACGCCCATAACGCTGAATAGATAAAAATAAAAATGATTATCAATGACATTTGTTGGTAATTAGTTGCTTGCGAAATATACAATTTCAGTCTTCTAACGTTAATTCCTTACTCAAGGAACGCACCCTTTACGGCGAAGATCAGCATGCCACGCGTGGGGCGCCAAAACCAGGAGAATATCTATGTCATATTTTGGCGCTCTTTTGATGCTCGCAGAATACAGAATTTCCAGCAACCTAATGTTCACCCCTTGCTCAAGAAATGCATCCGCGAGGAAGGAACAAACGTAAGACAACTAAAAATCGTATATTTCCCGAACAACGAAAGAGTAACACATTATGGCGTAGGTGTTTTTCTATCTTTTGCCCCACGACAGGTAGTGCAAAAAATAGAATTCTGCTCTACGCCGGAAGAGGTGCGATTTTCGGATAAGGGACGGATCTTAGGTGGCTGAAGATCGTATATTTCGCGAGCAACAAAAGAGCAATAAATTATGACACAGATACTATCTTGGTTTTTGCACCCGCGCATGTGGCATACCAAAAGAACACTAAATTTCCCGTATATTTTTTTAATCGTGCTAAAGTGGTTGTGCCAGCTTAACAGAACTAAATATAAATGTTGGTAACGTGGAGCGCCAGCTTATATTAACACTCAAGTATCCAAAATAACGACGTCATTGTCGAAAAAGCTATAGATCAGTTCTATTTTTATCAACGTTGATTAAATTTCTCGGCGCCTTTTATATCACCTTAATATATTTGAAGTGACAAATAGAAAAGTAAACCACACCCAAATATTTCAAATTCCAAGTATTCGATATCTCATAGTTAATTACCGAAAACATTAATTTAACTTGCGGGTTGGTAGTACGGGTCGAAAGTATAATTTTAATTACTGGTTCTGTAATACCGAATAGAGCAAGATGTGATGTTCGGTTTCCTAACAAGGAAACATTCCCAAGTGTCAGCCCCCGATCTTATTGATTTTCATATATGTTGAAGAACACAAAAATCTAAGAGACACGTGTTTTTTTATATCTGCAATGGTCCACATTTAAGGGGCGAAACAACCCCCTAAAGTTTGGTGATAATTCAATTTTTATAATAATTTTCGTAGAAGCAGTGGAGAGATTTCGACGAAACTTGGTATAAACGTATTCTGTATAAGGACGGCGAAAACACAATATTGTCCAACAATGCTACACCCCGCCAAGGGGGTGAACGAATATCGCTAATTCTATTTTCGTAAAAACAGTAAAAATCCAATTTTACCGTTTCACCAAGAAGATTGTATTACTAGTTGGAAACGGGTGATGACTGCGTCATCGGATCTGTTGCGAAACTATTTTAGTCTTTTAAACTTTATTTAAAATTTATTTATAAATAATTGCATGTTATGAAAACCAACGACATTTTGAGGAATTAGCACGTTCATAAGATTTGTGTACAATGAATTGGTCACGATTTAACCCAATATAGCTAGTCGAAATATACCCGTATACCACCTACATTCATTGTTTACAACCGATGTGTAAATGTTTATTGGCAAAAAGCAAAAAACACGTATTTCTTCATTTTTTGTGAGCAAGAACACACCGTAAGTGGAACTTAAGTAGGAGTGCTTGTTTAATAGGTATTACAAAAAAATGTCGCCAGAAGGGTAGTTCACCCCCTTGGGGGGTTGTAGCATTGCTGGACAATATTGTGTTTTCACCGTCCTTATACAACATACGGTTATATCAAGTTTCGTCGAAATCCCTCCATTGCTTCGATGAAAATTATTATACAAATTGAATTTTTGCCAAACATTGGGGGCTTGTTTCACCCCTTAAATGCGGATCATTGCAGATATAAAAAAACACGTGTCTCTTAGATTTTTGTGTTGTTCAACATGTATGAAAATCAATAAGATCGGGGGCGAACACTTGGGAATGTTTCCTTGTAAGTTTGAGGCACAGTGTTTCACTGGAAAGGAAACGTCGTTACTATGAAATAACGCATTATTTCTTTTGGCAGAGCGCTCACGATCACGCGATAGAGAGCGCAGTCACAGAAGACGTCGAGAGCGATCCAGAAGTCGTGATAGGGAGTACAGGGAGCGTAGTCGGGAGAGAGATAGAGAACGTGACAGAGATCGTGATCGTGAGAGGGAGAGAGATCGCGAAAGAGACAGAGAACGTTACTATAGCGAACCCTATCCAAGAGAACGGTCACGCAGCAGGGAGAGAGATCGGGAACGCGAACGAGACCGGGAATATCGCGAGCGGAGCAGAGAGGAGAGGTAAGCTGAATATAGTGTCCGATTGCCTTATCTTATTACATCAAATTAGGTAACAAAAAAGGTTCGTAAACGGCACGAACTTTTTCGGTTACTTAATACATATAGAGGAAACAAATATTTATTTATGTATAAATATACACAACGTATATAAGTGTATATTTGGCGCGAAAGTCTTCCGAGTTTCCTGATATGTATTCATTTCCTCTATATAGTATCTATCGTATATACATGACTACATTAATTAATTAAATAATGAATTGTTTTATTTATTTATTTATTTATCCATGTGAAACTTTCGAGGAAAAACCTCAGTTGGCATCAGATCTACTAGTATTGTTTCATTTCTGTTGTGCAATCATAGACAAAATATTTGTCGTGTAGACAATTTAATTTACTTGCACAATATAGTGATATTTCAAAATTACATTGAACTTACAAATGTACTGCGTTTAACTCTTTCGCCACGGCGGTTCGCTCCGCCAAAGCGCCATCACTGAACAGGATCCTGCGTTAAAAGTGTACTCATTACGGCTATAGCCGGTTCATCCCTGGGCACTGTTTTATGGATTCCGGCTATAGCCGGTGTTGGGGTCGAAGGAATTAATTATTTTTACATGTTATCTTGTATGCATTTCTTAGAACGAGACTGTTTACGCTCTCTTACTGGCGCCTTTCGTGTCACCTTAAGGTGAAGTGAAACATCCTTCAAATCAGTCGATTCGAATACAACACTTTTTTTTAAGGGTATTAGACTAAACTGTCCGAAACTTTGACACATCACTCCTGATCATCTAAGAATTGTCCTGACACATTCAAAATTTGGATTTTTCAAACAAATTTTTTAACTCAGTCCAGACAAGAACCAAAATGGCGTCAAGCTCTCATATTTCGATCGATATACAATTATCGAAGGCTCTGATATGAGAATTGAAAGGGTCAGGACAATTTTGCGACAATTTAGAACACTCTGGTAAGCGATAAACTCGCATTTCAACGGGATAAAGGTAAAAAAAGTGTTGTATGCGCTTCTTTGCTAAAACGATGGGAATACAAGGTCTCGGAGTGAAAATTTAAGTGACCTGGAAATCACAGATGGCGCAGGGGGTCCCTCCGCAGTCAATTAGGGCCTCAGAAGGCATGAATCCAGAGGATTTCTGGAGTTTTACTTCGATTTCTTTATAATTGTTGTATGAAAACGACAGGTGGAATATGCCATTTGGTACAATACCCAATATAATTCGACCCAACTGTCAATATAAAAACGAACGTCGGCAATGTAGGCATTTAGAAAAATCTTCTTTATAGACGTTGATCAAGTTCCTCGACGTGTTTCACTTCACCTTAACACTTTGACCGCCACATTATCCATGGGTGACTGGAATGTCACTCATATTTGGGTGACATGGCAGTCAAAGTGTTAAATACTTCCTACAAGTGTTTAAACCTGAGTATTACTAGATACAGGCTATCTGTAATGGCCAACAAAAAATGTACTAATCATTTACATTACGATTGTACTGATCTTTGTTTCTTTTTATTTTATTAAGTGCATGAAGAAAAATATCGGATTATAAAATGATGAATTAAATCATAAAAATTTGGAAAATACTGCTAATGATTATTAAAAATACCGACAAATTGTAGTCTTATTGACATTTACTGTTTTTTAATCTCTGTATAATATGAGAGAAAGAGAACAAAATCGAAAATATGTCTTATGACAATTAATAAAAATAATATATTTTTTTTAACAATGATTCTAGTTTATTAGGTCATATTACTACAATAATGCCAACATTGATATTTTTAGATTATTTTGTTGTGAATCTATTGAAATCTTGTCTGACTAATGATAATATTTTCAATTTTATAATTCGTACTAATCATTCATGTTTTATGAGTTGATTTTTTCACCAACTTTCAAAAGGTTTTTACATACGAGTACTAAATTTGAGGCTGTATTAAATTGCATTGACAGATGAATTGAAGATAAAGTAAAAAGATTAAGCTTTTGCATAAGTTTACCCATACATTATTGAACCTTATTAGCCAGTAACTGATTAAAAATAATTAAAATTAAAACTAGCGGTATGGGAGCATTGTATAGTGAGCGCCTATAATTTTTATGAGTTTCCCAGGCACCGCGCGAAGTACAATATCCGTATATTCCTCGTCTAAATTAGGTCAAAAGGTATAGCAAACGGATATCGTCTATCATTCACCTAAAGTAAATGTCTTGTAATATATAGATTTATTTTATGTACATAGCTACACAAAATATGTCATAGATATCTAAACGGTGTGTGTGTACGTGCGTGTGTGTGTGTGTCAAAAGTGAGTGCGCGCTCATTTTTGATCTACAAATATCTACTTATTTCTTGACGCATACAAAATATTTAATAGCTCTGGTAGACATCTACCAAAGGTTAATCAATATCATTGGTAATACATTTAGAAAAGTAAAAAGACACCTCATGCAACTTAACATTTTACATACATACTTAATGTTTATATCTAAATTCCAACTCGATAGAACCGCTAATTTTATCCAAAATCTGATTTTTTATTTACTGCCTCCTTGACTGGTGATCATACATCATGATTTTTATGTAGTATGTAAATTATGATGCATTACCAGGCACCGTATCAAGTATATTATAGTGGACGTACAAATTAGGACAAGTACAAAAAACATACAGCATCTATGGTATGAATAATAAAACTATCCCGTGAATATATATGTAAATCTTTTTCGCGCCTATATTTTCAGTATATATATCATAGAAGTCTACATAAGCTATATAGATATCCAAACTATTGGAAAACGTTAAATTGATAGTTTATATTCAGCTTCCATAGACTTCTATAAATGTAGTTACACTGTAAAAATTTGTGCACATTAGATGAAGAATCTTTAAAAAAATATTCATAAAATTCAAGCACCTTTAGTATATAAAGTTATACTAAAATTACGAATTTAGTATTTTAAAAGTGAATCGTTTACGTATACATTTATTATACACTTCTAAATAAAAAGATGATTTTATATCACACTGTTACATTTTTTTTGACTTTTCACTTTTATAATCACTTACGAGTTTTTTTGAAGAATAAGTTTAGAAGATGCAATAAGTATCATTAGAATTGATCGATAAGTACCGTAGTGGTCTTCATAAGTCCGAAAAATATTAAAAATATTTATTCCTTCATAGGCTTTGGTAGCATCGTGGTCAGTGTTCCTGCTTCTTCCTCGTAAGGCTTGGGTTCAAATCCTGACAATTACAAAAAAGGTTTTCTGTGTCAAAAACGGCAGGATTTGTCTGCATAGCTGTACTGAAAAAGTTTTCAAACAGACTCGGCTCAAAAAAATTATCAATTTCATTTTTTTTTTTACAAATACACACGTATATCGAATGAATATCTATAGACGTATAGAATATCGTAGACATCTATTGTAGATGTCTACGATATATATGTATAACGTACCACATCCGGACATTTAACCTTTGAGTGTATCTGAAATAGAGTTCATAGATNAACTCAGACCTAGTCATTATCTGCGATGTTCAGCCTGGCGTGTCAAATTAGACAATGAATGTTGTTTTTTGAACCTCTTGAATGAGTAAAGTCAACTTTAACGAGGCCATCGAGAGTGGTCGATTTTTCTGCATCTTTTAAGCTATGAACGAAACCGATTGGTTCATTTAATACAGAGATGTGCATTTTTTAATATTTCACTTCGCTTGGGTCGCTTGATACTACTTATACCTAATATTCGTCGCATGTCAGGATATGAACATCAAAGGATGCTTGTGCGGATCGGTGATCGGTATGGACACATTTGCTGAAACCTCTAAAACGTGGACGATACTGCATACAAGTTGAGCGCGACTTCGCGCGCATGAACAGAAATTTTTGGGAACGAAAATATTAGACGTGAATCCAAACATAAATTTCGAAAAATTCCGCGCACGAAAAGCGTGGATGTACTAATGCTCATGTCTAGACGTGGATATGTTCTGAGCTCGCACGAACACTATCCGTCGCATGTCGATACAGCAAAGAATTCTTGTACGTATCGATGTTCAGCATGAACTGATTTGTTAAGGTGAAGTGAAACACGTCGAGCAACTTGATCGACGTCGATAAAGAAGATTTTTCTAAATGCCTACGTTGCCAACGTTCGTTTTTATATTGACAGCTGTGTCGAATTATATTGGGTATTGTACAAAACGGCATACTCCACCTGTCGTTTTCGTACAATAAATATCAAGAAATCGAAGTAAAACTCCAAAAATCCTCTGGATTCGTGCTTTCTGGGGCCCTAATTGACTGCAGAGGGATCCCCTGCGCCATCTGTGATTTCCAAGTCAATTAAATTTTCACGCCAAGACCTCGTATTCCCATCGTTTTAGCATAGAAGCGCATACAACATTTTTTTTACCTTTATCTCGTTCAAATGCGAGTTTATCGATTACCAGAGTGTTCTAAATTGTCGTAAAATTGTCCTGGCCCTTTCGTTTCTCATATCGGAGCCTTCGATAATTGTATATTGATCGAAATATGAGAGCTCGACGCCATTTTAGTTCTGGTCTGGGTTGAGTTAACAAATTTTGTCCAAAAATCCAAATTTTAAATGTCAGGCGAATTCTTATATGATCAGGAGTGATGTGTCAAAGTTTCGGACAGTGGTCTAATATCCTTAAATAAAGTGTTGTATTCGAATCGACTGATTTGAAGGGGGTTTCACTTCACTTTAAAGCCACTGAAGTTTAAACGATACCATGCACAATTTGAGCGTGATTTTACACACGAGCAGAATTTTTCGGAAACAAGAAAAGATATACTATATGAAAAAACGAGAAGTATGTGCCCGTTGTTCGTGAGAGTAAAAATATGCCTGGATCCACCTTTACGGATACGGCCATCACATGCGCACGTTATTAAAGCACATAAATGTGCTCACACCTGGATCCTCTTATACATTGAAAGTTTGTCAT